CTCTCTCTCTCTCTCTCTCTCTCTCTCTCTCTCTCTCTCTCTCTCTCAGAATAAATAAACTTAAAAAAAAAAGAAAATTTGGGAAATACAGAAAAGTATAAAAAAGAAAACAATAATTACCTATAAACCCAGCACCTACGCACTATGATTAATAGTTTTCCTGCATGTTTGTGTGTGTGTGTGCATGTATATATGTGTGTGTATGCATAAATGTATATGATACATGTATATGGAAAGTTGGGTTTTTTACAAACTTGTGTCCCTACCACATATAAAAATTAATATCCTACTTTGTTCACTTATTATATAATGGATATTGCCCCAGGCCATCAGCTATTCAAAATGCCTTTTTAAATTTTCACATAATATTCCATTATACGGGAGCGCCTGGGTGGCTCAGTCGGTTGAGCGTCAGACTTCGGCTCAGGTCATGATCTCATGGTTCATGGGTTCGAGCCCCGCATCGGGCTCTGTGCTGACAGCTCGGAGCCTGGAGCCCGCTTTGGATTCTGTGTTTTCCTCTCTCTGCCCCCCCCCCACTTGTGCTCTCGCTCTCTCTCGCTCTCTCTCTCTCTCAAAAGTAAATAAAATGTAAAAATATTCCATCATGTGGATGTGCCATAGATTTCTTTTTTTAATGATGACTTATTCTTGCAAAGTTCTTGAGGCTAGAATTTTAATATCAGGTTGATGCCAGGGCCAGGCCCCATTTGAAGGCTTTGGGGTGGATCCTTCCTTGTCTCTTCCAGCCTCTGGTCGCTTATTCCTTGGTCTGTGGCTGCATGATTCAATCTCTGCCTCCATTGTGCCATAAATAACAATTTCTTGGTTTTTAAATATTTAGGCTATTTCTAATTTTTCCGGGTGATAACGTTACAGTGAAAACCTTTGTATTTTTTTCACATCTGTGATGACACCCTTCAGCTCTATTCCTACAAATCGACTTACAGGTCTCACGATAAAAATAATTGTAAGGCTCTTTTGCTTTTTTAAGTTTGTTAGTTTGTTTATTGTGGGGGGGGGAGACGGGGAGGGAGCATCCTAAGCGGGCTCCACACGGCCAGAGGAGCCTTATGTGGGGCTTGAACTGACAAACTATGAGATCATGACCTGAGCTGAAACCAAGAATCAGATGTTTAACCAACTGAGCCACCCAGGTGCCCCCCCCTTTTAAGTTTGTTTGTTTATTTATTTATTCATTCATTCATTTATTTATTTTATTTTTAAAATTATTTTTATTTTTTTATACTATAAATCAGGGTAAGATGCACTAGAAGTAGGTATTCGGGGGTAAACCTGATTATCTTTTTCCCTGGTATGGAAACCTTCTTGATAACAGATGCACAGAGCTTCAACAAGAAGCTTTAAAATAAACGCAAAGTCATGATGGTTATTGGAAAAAAAAAAAAAAATCCCAAAGAGGTAATTGCATGGGTTTCATAAAGTATGATCAGCATCCAGTTATGAATAACATCATAAATATCACCCAAAGATATAGGAAGTGAATTCTTAGGGTTGCGGTCAAAGTTTTATTTTACAGGCATTAATAAACATAATAATACCCGGTCCACCCTACTTAAAAAAAAAAAAATTCACTCCCAAGACAGAGCCACAGGCTGCTGTTCCATGGCAACATGCATTGCTTCCTCTGGCCATTAGATGTCGCTGCAGTAAACGGGGCATTTCTGAGCACTCAGGATCTTAGCCTTGCAGGTAGCGATCTCTGTCCAGTTAACAACCTCCTAATCCCTGCTTGAAATCCACCTTCAGTTTGGAGGGTAGGGAGCCTAGAAACAACAGGCTAACTCGAAACTCTGTTGTGGTGGGTTTTTTCCTGCAAGGCACACGATCCACATTCTCCAAGACAAAGCTTCGCTAGCAGCCCCCCCTCCACCCCCCCGCGGGAGCCTGCCAGTTTTGCCAGTGGAATTTGTAACGAGGGGACTTTGCCTGGGAGCCAGGCTGCCCTGAACTGAGGACACTTAATGGCAATGTTTGCATTCCGCTGGCTTTCCTCCTCGAGCTGCCTGTCAGGAAGCGAATCCACGTCAGGTGTCTGTTAGATAACCAGCTGGGCGGGGAATTTTCTCAACTCCCACACTGACTGGCCACTTTATCTGAATGTCTCGTTCTCCTAATATGCTTTTGTCCAGATACACACACACACACACACACACACACACACACACACACACAATCTGCGCATCTAATGCCATATCAGGTTGGAACGCTCTCAAACATTAATGAGAATGATCAGAAGTCTCGTTTAACCAGCTGAACCCTTCCTTCACCATGCTTCCACTCATTTTTATTCCTTTCTCTTTTTCTCGCCCTGGCTCCTGGCTGGCATGCTAGGGAATGGGGACGTAAATAAATTATGAACGTGCATGTTTTGATGCAGTGGTTTCCGGTGGGAAGCGGGGGGTGGGTCAGCCCTGTGCACAAATGGCAGGAGGTGTCCCCCACCCGGTGTGCCGCCTGAAATCGCCTTGGCCGCTCTTCAGTGCATCATGGCTCAAGCTCCTGCAGGCACAGCCTGTCCTTTTCATCTTCATTCTCCCTCACGTGGCCCAGAACGTGGGCCTGAAATGTGTATTTCAAGGCAGCACTGAGTGTACTGAGAGAATAAGTGGCACAGGGAAGATATTGACGGAGACTAATCCGTCTAATTAATCTGTGGGCCCTTAATAAAGGCCGGGGACGGAGTCCTAAGCAAAAGGTTCTCTGGACAGGTGCATGTGGAAGAGAGAGGGAGACCGGCTGCCCTGACACTCGAGGGAGCAGCTGAGAACATGGGAGCCTTGGAACCTGGCGGGCCCTCTGAGAGGGTCAGGTGGGAGGCACCGGGCACCAGCTTGGTGTCGCCCCCCCCCCCCCCCCCCCCCCCCCCCCCCCCCCCCCCGCCCCACACCCAGCCCAGAATCTCTGACGCCCTCCCCCGCGGCCCATGTTAGGTGTCTCCATTTCATCAAATATAAAACCGAGCGCCTGCCTGTTGCTCTGTACCCCAGGGGACTTTGACCCCATCAAGGCTCACAAGGCAAGCAGGATTGGGCCAGGTCAGCATTTGAACTGAAGGTACATAAACTGAAGGACAAAGGTGGTATCCGAGTGGCACAGCTGACCGAGCAGAATACACAGGGTCCCTGAGCGAAGAGAGGCCCCGGGCTGTTCAAACAGAGACGCTGAACCCACCCGAGATGCTTAGCACCTCAGGCTGCCTTTACCAAACGGGGCGCGCTGTCACTTGGTCCGTCCCCTCCCGGCACAGCCCTGTCCTCCTGGGTCTCACACCCAACTCCACGTGTTCAGCCCCGACCCACGCTCCTCGCTGCCCGCTGCGCGTGGTTATCACCTGTATACACTGTCGCCTCTAATGTAATCTGTATCAGACCGACCTCTCCTTCCCCTGCAACTTTGTGCCCAGGGCTTTCCATTTCAGTCCCACCACCCCCCACCCCCAGTCACCCAGACTGGAATTCCAGAAGTTGATGCTCACGCTTCCTCTTCCCCTCCCCCAGGCAACCTTGAGTCCAGTTGCTCCCACCCTGGTCTTTTTGTCGCGGTCCCTGCCCTAACCTAGGACCTTGTCAGCTCCTGCCCGGGCTATGGCAGTAAATCCTCTAACTGGGCTCCAGGATTAAATCCAAAAATGGGAGCGCGCCTGGGT